TACTGACATGTTTAATTTTTTTTTTCCCTCAGTACACACAGCAACAAAAATATGGAGATGCGCCCAACATAAAAATTTGAAAAACGAAAAGTAGGAAACATAGAAGCGTGGGTCGCAATGTTGTGCTGGAAAAGGCGCTCTCGTCAACTCTAAGGCGCAGTTTTTCCACGTTGTTAATTAAAGTAGGTAGTAATAATTAATGATTACAAAAATAATAGAAAAAAATAGACGTTCCATGTGCCCATAATACATTGGCCGAATATTTTAGTCGGGGGGCAATTGTTCTGTTTTTGACCTTGCCTCTTCATCTCATTAAATTTAATTTAAATTAAATTTAACCTTCCCTTTCTAATCGATCTTATCTCATTTTCTATGATTTGCAGCTTTCAAGTTGTATTCATATAAGTAATTTTCTTTCATTTATTGTTTTTTATTTACTGAAAATATATATTGCATAAGAGTTCCTTAAACTCATCTTTTAAATATTATAAATTTTTCTTTCAATTGGAAAATTATCTTAAGAGATAATGCATTTTTTAATCTTATTTTAAGAGAATTATTTTGTACGGATACATATTTTTATCTTTTATTTATTATTGTGTTGACTTTACTTACATGAAGTGTTGTATAATGCATATTGAATAAGAATAAAGTTGTAAAGTTGTTAAATTTTAAATGAGAGTTGATACGGTTTAAGATATTCTTTGATTCATGTAAAACATATTGAAAATGATTTATAAATAAGATCAGAAAAATATTGTGGTATCATCACGTCTTAATTTGTTTTCCAAATTAAATCATGCTTCGTCAACATGCTAAGTGCCTTTTCAAACTAAACACTTAATGGTATTTAAGAAATTAATATTAAAATAGATTCAAGAAAACATTTTGATTTTAGAGAAAGTTAACTAATCAGAATAAATTTTATAAATGAAGCGACATGTAACAACTAAACGAGCAGTCAAAAATCCACCAAACGAAAGTATTAATTAATTGGTTGTGGGTGGCGTCCACGTCATTAATCGCCGGCCCACCGGATTTTCGGTGTGGAAAGTACCATTCGAGTGGTCCAATAGAAATGCACCAACACATGCTAATTTAACCCCCCGGGGTATATTTACGTCATTATAATTTTAATTCAAAGTTATTTTATTAATTACTGGTAATTAGCAACTCGCCTACAAAAATTGGGTAATTAAGGAAAAAAAAGCAAGAGGATGAAGGGAAAACCTCCAAACTTAAGATCTATTTGGTATGAGGGAAATGATTTTTTTTTAATGAACTCATTTTAAAAAATTGAAGAAGTGAGGCTATAAAATTTTGATAATGTAAGATAAAATAGTAATTACAATTAATAAAAATATTTTAACCCCTTTTTTATTTTTTTACAAATAAGTTCATTATAGTTTTTTCCTTCTTTCCTTTCTCTCTATTTCTCTTGAACCCTTAAACGACAATACAAAATTTATGTGTATTTAAAAGTAATTGATTTAGTAATATTCTTGTTCAAGCCAAAAAAAAAAAAGAAAAAGGAAAAGGCATGGACCACACAGAAGCACGCTTGCTTCTTCGAAAACCGTCTACTCGTATGGTACAATCCACCTTTCTTCATGTTTGTTTTGCGTGATTAATCAATTTATTTATTTTGCCAAGTGTGTGCGTGTGGATTTGAAACTGACCGTTTTATTTATTTTTATGGGAATTCTGAGTTGTGTGTACCTTTCTGGTCACTAGAAATATATCTTCCTGTTTCTATCACTCATAATGTTTTATAAAAACCAACACAACTCTCAGAGAAAAAATTGCAAAAAAAAAAGACCGACAATAATAATAGTATAGATTTTGACAAAAAATTTTATGAACAGGTCATTGTGTGTAATTTTTAAATTTCAACGGTGTTTTTTTGCAATTTTTTCAATCCCAGACTTTATTAATTGTATCTTAAAATTTAATAACATTTTGATTTTATTTTTATTTAATATATATAGTTTTTAAGAAAATAGCAGTAGATACATACAATAATAAAGAGATGACAAAAATGTATATTCATGCAACAATAACACTTCCGAGAAGATGGCCTGTATATGAGATCAGGTGGAATACATGAATTAGGACCACGATTTTAGTTTCCCACTTGAGCATCGTTCTTATATTAATTACTTTCACGCCTTTCTTTCTCTTGTCAATTCAAATTCAATGGATTCATATAAGATCATTACAACTCTATCTCTAAAATTTCATTTGGTACAAATTAGCAACCCCAATATTGGCTGTTTAATTAAATAGTCTTGGTTAATACAATTTTTAATCTCTTAAATTTGTTTTCATTTTGATTTTGGTCCATCAAGTTTCAAACCATAAGTTTTGGTTTCTCAAATTTTTTTATTTAAAATATTGATCTCTATAATTTAATAAGAATCTAGACCATTTTGCCAGGGATCAAAACCTGTAATTTGAAATTTGAAACACTAAAATCAAAACTTCATGCAAACATGAGGGTCAAAAAATTATATTTACTCATTAGTCCTTATACTTTATCCCTTAGTTATAATACAATCATTAAAAAATCAGATAATTTTCTAAAAGTATAGTGAAAAACACACCAAGTATTTGATAAAATAACTGAACAAATTAAATTTCAGGTGCTGAGTTGTAAGGGAATTAAAATTATAATAAACAGCTTTCCCATTTAATTCATACACAGACTGGATGCTTTGAAAATTAATTATTGTAGAAATTTTGGGATCATCATGTGTTCGTATGTAATATTTGGATTGATAGCTAATATAATTTTTTTTTTGCCAGCCATAGCTAGTATAATTTGAAGTTTTAGATTCTTATTATTATTTTTAAAAAAACTCAAATATATATTTTCAGCCAACATAAAGTTCAAATCGATAAGATAATAAGATTAAGGAGGTATATGAATTCTAACAAAAACACTTTTAAAAAGTATCTTTATATAAACCGAGATAACTTTTTTTATACTTATTTTTGTGTGCCGTAAAATCATTTTTAAAATAATAATTTGATTTTCACTGAAACACTTCATAAATAAAAAAAAAAAATAAGCGCGCATGAAGATTTATTTTTGTGTCGGTTATCTTAATTTGACAATATCATTAACTATGAACCATTTAGTTGGTTGGTTAAAAAAGAGAATTTTTTTTAATAAACAAGAGAATTATTAAACATATTTAACTTTTTTTTATTTAGGTAGAATTGAACTATATTTTAAAATTTTAACTTTATATAAATTTTTTTTATTGCATTTTATATTTTCTTAAAACTCTTCAAATCATTTGACTTTTATTTCCAAAATAAAATAAAAAAATTCAATAGATAAACCGTAAATCTTAAAATTGAAATATCAAGAAGTGTTAGTTGATGAATTATTTAATAAATTTATTTTACTGTACGGAAGAGTAACCATTTAATTAATAGATCTAAATCTTTTTTTCCCTTTAATTTGAACAATTTATTTAGTTGTTTTGATAATTTTCTCCTTCACAACAAATTTTTTTTATTTTATTTAACACGATACAAAATATATATGTTTTCTTTATTCTTCACTTAATGAAAAGAAGGGTCGACACATAAATTTTATACTCACTCCGATTATATTAATTAATAGATCTAAATCTTTTTTCCCTTTAATTTGAACAATTTATTTAGTTGTTTTGATAATTTTCTCCTTCACAACAAATTTTTTTATTTTATTCAACACGATACAAAATATATATGTTTTCTTTATTCTTCACTTAATGAAAAGAAGGGTCGACGCATAAATTTAGGAAGGGGTGAAATCCATTTTATAAATTTTAATTTGAGTTTGTCTTAATATTTAATGTATTTTTTTATACTGTTACCATTAATTACTTATTTTCTCTTATTTGCCATACTCTCTCTTATCATATTTTTCTATACATTTTCTTTTATTTTTTTCATTTATTATAAAATATATTTAAAAATAAAAATATATTTCAACTTTTTTATTATTTTTATTAATTTTAACTAAATGTTTCTTATTTTTTCCTATTTATGAATTATTTATTTGAAATTTATAATAATAAAAATCGAAGAGAGTATATATATAGGCACCCGCACGCACTAAACAGGGCTAAAATCGTTTTGCCTCTTACGTAGCCAGAAATAACCCTCCCAACCAAACAAAGCTTTGCCGATTCAAATAAGATATACGTAATTGAGGTAGCTTCCATGTATCAATCTTTTACCTTTTAAGATCTTGAGGCATAATCCTGTAATTCAATAAATTACTTAGCCTTTCATTGTTACAAGAGGGAGTATGTAAGTTAATACTCCTCCGGTCCTTAATATAAGACTCATTTAACTAATTTGATTAGATTAAGGAAGTTAGGTAAGTTAGTTAATTATAAGAAAAGTGACACATTTTTCCCAAAACACCATAATCATTTTTCTTAATATCCCACCTCCCTCTTCTACTTGATTATGGTTAAGAGAGGATCCATAGAGGTAATTTAGAGAAAATTAATAAATATGAGAAATGGGTCTTATATTTAGGATCAAAACCAACTCAAGAATTGGGTCCTATATTAAGGACCGGAGGAGTAGTATTTTAGTAATAATGTAAAAGAATTATTTTATTATAATTTATGTTATTTAATAATTTTTTTGACCTTGCTTAATACAATTTTTAACCATCATCAAAACTCTTTTTTTGGTCAAAATCGACCCTTATAAAAAGCCTAAAAGTGATAATTTTTTATGAAATCAAAAGTAAATTTGTGTCTATTTAAACCATGACAAACAAAAATAATTATGATAAGTAGTAATTATAATGTCATTAGGCGCCAAGTGTCACGCAATCGGTTGTGGTAGCACCATATTTCTATGTCACGACGAGTGAGCCGTCGGTGTTTAAACGAGATTAAATTTCAAGGATATGTGAATGAACCTGTCTTTTTTTTTTTTTGGGCTTCAGTGAATGAACCTATCAACAATTTCCCGGTCTCAATATGTTTTTCGAAGTTTTTTTGGTTGCCTAATTCGGTAATTCCTCTTATATAAACATCCTATCGTTATTTCCTCTGAGATCAGCGAGAAAATATATAAAGAAAAAGAATTTACGAATCTTACTTGTGTTTTGATTTGTGATCTCGGTTTCTTTCTTGGTCTCGGATTTCAGAAAACCCAGATTATATTGTTGAAAATCTATCAGAGCGAATCTGAAAGTTCAGATTCATCATATTTCTCTTCAGAAGCAAGACGGAACTCTTGGGACCCAATTTTTCCCCAGTGCAATTTGACCGTATAATAGTTGATTTTGATGCAACTCTGCTGTTTCTTAACTTGACTCTTAGGAAGCCCAAGTTTGGATTTGGATTTTGCTTTGCTTCTTCCATTAGATTTCTCTTTTGGTGAGTTTTAACGCCCATGAATGATTTTCTTTTTGCTGATTGAGTCGAAGTGAGACTGTATTGGTAAGTGCATTTTATTGCAGGGAACTCCGATTCCGTCGAAGTTCGAGGTGCCTTAGAGTTTGGGAAGTAGGCTGTGGAATTTTCAGGGAGCGTGGATGAGGGGCTGTGGCAGGAGATGATAGGGGCATATGAGGATTTTGAGATACAATGACTGGAGGGTCATTGGGCATTCGTTCCGGAAGTTACGGTTCTCTAGATAAACAGCTGCAGAATGGTTTATCGCCTATTCAAACAGCACGCAAGCCTTCCAAGATGCTCAAGGAGAAAGAGCGATTGTTCCCTTGGATCTGCAAATTTGCAGGACGAAAGAAGGTCGGAATGCTGTTTCTCTGTAGTATTTCCGCCGCGGTTTTCTTCTGGGTTTTGTACGTTGGAAAAGGTTTCTCTAATTCTCTCTCCTTATCTTCTCTTCCTCATCTTCTATCTTTTCATGTTGTTCTGCAATAGTTACTGATTGGATTCTACTACCTTTTAAATTCCCTTGTAGATAAATTAAGATAATTCTGTGCGCCCGAAAAACAGATTTGGTTTTAGAATTGATCTGGTTAACTACCAACATTTGGAGTGCAAACCAAATGATGTACTTATGTTGGGTTTCGTGACATGTGTTGGAAGATTCAATGATCCTTTCACCTTAAGTGGATGCTCATTATTTCAAAGGACTCTGGCGATAATGTTGCCTTTTTTCGGGATTACTATTATTTAGAATTAAATTTTCTCTTCCTGCTATATGCTATTGTATCCCGTGTTTGCAATTAGTATAATAATTTATCATTCACGAGATTTGTACCAATTTTAATTTTATTCAGGAAAAATTTGTAGTTTGCCGCATGATTCAGCCAAAAAATCAGCTTGTCTTGTAGTTTTAGATGCGTCATTCAATTCTCCTGTTGTTTCTTCTACTACCATTTAAGCACCCTGGATTTCTGACTAATGTTCAAATTATAAACAATTCATTGCTGAATGTTTCACTTTTTACTTGAACCCTTAAGATGGTTTAATGCTTCCAACCACATGAAGCAAATTGTAAGAGAGCAGAGTGTAGCTCATAGTGTCACTGAAGTTTCATTAAGCCCTCCTTATTGAGTTCTTCCTCTTACATCAACTTGGCTGTCTTTTTTTTTTTTTGGAGCTGACAACTTGGCTTGTTAGCATATGCTGTTATCCATTGCCGTGCAAAAGGAAGAAAACTTGTTTTATAATTCTTTGCTATCACTTCATTTATGCTGCAGTTTTTCTTTTTTGGAAAATTACACACACACACATACAAACATGCGTCCACACACACACTCATGGGCAGGAATGGAGCCTGTAACCTTCATTCCGTCATGAAGGATTTGGCGCCATTATGGCATAAAGCCACTGGCATTTATGCTGCCGTTAAGACATATAATGTTTGCAACATGTTCCCCCCCTCCAGGTGAAGACACGCAAGAGGAAAACAGTGTGCGGAACATTAGAGTTAATGAAAGCCTGTCTATAACTCTCAGGGGCATAAGTACAACAGTAACATCATCCCCACCTCCACCAAGCTACTTTCTTGGGTACACTCTTCCTCCTGGGCATCCGTGTAATAGCTTCACCCTCCCTCCTCCACCAGCAGATAAGAAGCGAACTGGACCACGGCGTAAGTTATAGTTTCCCTTCTCTTGCCTTAGATTTTGGAATGGTTCTCAATCTTTGCATTTATCACTCTATTCTTTTAAAATCTGAACTTGTTAAGAATATGGAGGAGGGAAGTCCTATTGTATATTTTAGTTTACTATTTGTATGTGTTATTCTTGATTATTGTTGTTGTTTTTCCTTTAATTTTTCAGCATGCCCTGTTTGTTACCTTCCTGTGGATGAAGCCATTGAAAAGATGCCGAGTTTACCTTCACCTTCTCCAGTTCTTAAGAATCTATCATTTATCCACGAGGAAAATTTAAGTAGAGATGGAGAATTTGGTGGTTCAGACTTTGGTGGATACCCTACTTTGAAGCAGAGAAATGATTCTTTTGATGTACGCGAGTCAATGAGTGTGCACTGTGGGTATGTTTTTGCTTTAATTGAATCTTTCACCTTAAGTACAGAAGAATTATATTATAACCATAAATGATCTGTGCCCCATATTAATCATATCTCCCCTATACTCTCTTACTCATCTTTGTATTTTGAATTTTCAATGGTGCATTTGTGCATTCAATCAGGTTTGTTAGAGGAACTAAACCTGGCCGAAGCACAGGATTTGACATAGATGATGATGACCTTTCCCACATGGATCAGTGTTATGGTGTGGTTGTTGCGTCAGCCATATTTGGTTAGTATCATGTGATTTCTGTGTTTATTATGTTTTAAGCTAGTAGTTTATTGATTAATAAAATATGTTGTTCAGGAAATTTTGATGTGATAAATGAGCCAAAAAATATAAGTGACTACTCCAAGCAGAACGTATGCTTTCTTATGTTTGTTGATGAAGAAACAGCAAACCATCTGAAGTATTCGGGTAGGCTGGGAAGCAGCAAAAAAATTGGGCTCTGGAGAATTATTGTTGCGCACAATCTTCCTTACACAGATGCAAGACGGACTGGAAAGGTCAGAATTTTGAACTTTTCTGCCACTAGTATGAATGCATCATTGAAATTCACATTTGATTTTCATATGATGAAGCATTAAATAGCAGCTTCTTTGAAACAAATTCCTGTAACATTTACTGTGATCCTCTCTCAATAGTCAAGGCCACAGGAATTATGGTGCCATACTAAATAACCCTCAGGGCCCATTTCTTATCCTTCTTGGAAGGGGATCCCATTAGTATATTGAAATGGGTGGGATGATTTCTCATATTAGTAGACCTAGTATTGGTCAGATCCTCTTATTACTGAATCATGTTGTTTTTATCATTTAAGTACAGCCTTAGCTTCTTTGTATAAATTGAGATGACCTAAACCTGTATAAAAGACTAGTGTATTTTTGTGTTCATTGTCACTTTTGCTACCTTTGCTGCAGGTTCCAAAGCTTCTGCTGCATAGAATGGTTCCAAATGCTCGATATTCTATATGGCTTGATGGAAAGCTTGAGCTTGTTGTTGATCCATATCAAATTCTTGAAAGGTTTGTTTCAGTTTTTATTGTTATTATTATAATGTCTCTATTACATTCTATGAAAATCAATGCTGTCTTTTTTATATAGTGGCTTCATTACTTTCTACAGTTTGAGGATCGCAAAATCATGTCATTTAGCCCTCAATTCTGTCTCTGATCTTTATTTGATAGTCTATCATATCATTCGCTGGTCCATTTGATTCTGATTTTATTAAATATGGCGTCTAACTTCTGCACAATTACTATCTTTATTTTTTAGACAAGATGTCATTTCAACATCCTAAGCACTTTGGTATCGTCCATTGTACGGTTCGTCTGCTAATTACTTGAAGAACAACTTTTCAACTTAGTCACCATATAAGCATTCGTATGACTGCTGGTTAGACATCAAATGTATTTTGTAGATTGTAGGCTATTGGTTCAGGCGTCATGATCTCAGCTTCTCTTAAATTAGGAATAGCCACAACATTATTTAGACATTTCTTGAAGGTGATGCTTCATCTGCATTAGCGTTACATTTCTTTTGTTATGAAGTGCTAGAGTAGATATAATGAAATTCCTGGCTCACCTTGTAATTTGACTTTGGATGGCTTCTCTGGTTGCATGATTTATTCTTCACTTTAATACTATCGGATTTCGTTCTCTTGGCAATTGATTTTGCTATATTCTGTTTTCCAAGGTGGAACAATTCGTTTCATCATGAACAAGACCTTGCTTGAAATTAAGCATGTATTGTTATTGTTAATGCATGCGCGCACACACCCACATATATGTGCGTAAGTATGCTGTTAGAGTGTTCCCCTGGATGTAATTATGGCTTCGACTTCCTGCCTATGGAGCTAGATCATCGCAGGAGATTGTTTGTAGGCATTCAAGAGTGAAGCTGCTGGACTTGTGCTAATTTTTTTTTTTTTCTCTTGCTTTGTGCGGCCAGAACATAGGTGACCTATTCATGCGTTAATCAGTTCTTTGTCTCTTATCTAGGTTTTTGTGGAGGAAAAATGCTACATTTGCAATATCTAAACATTATAGACGCTTTGATGTATTTGTTGAGGCTGGGGCAAATAAAGCTGCTGGAAAGTATGACAATGCCTCTATCGACTTTCAGATTGAGTTTTATAAGAAGGAGGGATTGACCCCGTATACGGAGGCTAAGCTTCCCATTATAAGTGGTAAGTCAAATTTTCTTCCTCTATGGAATGGTAATATAATATGCACCTGTTTCTTTTTCTATATTTTTAATTTTCGTGAATCTTGATGGCTGAATTGCAGATGTTCCTGAAGGATGTGTTATAGTAAAAGAGCATGTTCCTATTAGTAACCTGTTTACCTGTCTTTGGTTCAATGAAGTTGACCGATTTACTTCAAGGGACCAGATTAGTTTCTCTACTGTCAGGGACAAACTTCTGTCGAAGGTGGACTTTCATGTTAACATGTTCTTGGACTGTGAAAGACGCAACTTTGTAGTTCAGGTAATTATTTCACCTGGCTTGCATCAAATTTGTCAGAGCAAAAACAAAACTGTCAATTCTGTTGTTTTTAGCGGAATCTATCCTCTTGCTTTTTATGGCAGTCTGTATTATAAAATATAGTAAATATATCCTATGGGAGCTTCTTGCTATGTTGCAAGGAGAAAACATTCGGAAAATCAATATTAGGAATGCAATATCTGTGTGTGTGTGTGTGTGTTTATTTCCATTTCAGTTATCAACTGATGTAAGATGGATGATTGTGGTTTCAATGTTAGCTTATCCTTTCAAATATTGGACGTTACTGTTTTTTTTCCTTCGATTCCTTTTAATGTTTCAAGCATTTTACTTGCCCACTGAAATATTGTTGGGATATCTTTAGCGTCTCAAATTCATGTACCTTTTATTATTGAAATCCTTTGTTGCTTACAGAAATATCATAGGGACCTCCTGGAACGCCTGGCTCCACCTGCTTCTATTACTCTCTTTCCACCACCTCCACCCAATTCGCCGCCCCTGTTACCTGTGCTTGTAAGTCCTCCTGCTAGGAGAGGCCCTGGAAGACGTGGGAGAGATAGAAGATCAGGTTCTAGGCGCCACCGCAAAGTTGCTGTTGGTAGCAGAGACAACGATGCAACAAGTTGAAGAAAGTTTTGTTTGGCCTGGTATATTATTAATATTCTTTTGCACCAGAGAGAATGATTCATTGCGGACCTGGAGGAACATTGTGAAGACGAGTATAACCCAGTTTCCACGCGAACACTTCGTTCTTTCCAGTTTCTACTTTTGTGGAATTGTTCATCTTTATTCAATTTATTTGGTTGTATATATAGTAAAATTTTCAAATAATTATAATATGGGTTGTCACCAAGTCTCTCTCACGTGTGGCCGCCCATTTTGTTTCATTTTTCATTATTATAACCAAAGGGTGATGGCTCTGCAGTCTTATTTAATCTTTTTTTTTTATTTTTATAAATATTACTCCCTCCTTTCCTTATTATAAGAGACATTTGATGCTTATGGCATGTGTCCTATATATAAGAGACATTAAAAGTTGTCTCTACTTTTTTGTGTTGATTCCTATTTACCATATTTATTGTCTCTAATCACACTCTCTCTCCTTCTCCTACTTCTCTCTCTCCTTATTAAGAGGTATTTTGGAAAAGAAATATATTTTTACACATTGATGTTCTTAACTACTTTAACTGTTTTTTTGATCAACGTAATTCAGTTGTCTTTATAATAAGAAACGGAGGGAGTACTAATTATATTGAGTCTTATCCAATCATGTGAGATTTTGGTTGTGGGATTAACATTATAGGTCTCGTTTCAAGTAGGTTGTCCTAACCCTAATGATGCCACTCTTTGACGCTACATTTTGTTTGGCCCCAAAGCGATGCCATCACCGTGGTATGAACCCAATTGAAGGGTTTAGTGCAATAAACAATGCATTTTTGGCATTGTTTTGTGAATCGGGCAGAGATATAAGTCATGATGCCCGAATTAGGCATTGTCTTGCGAATTGGAAGAAGTATGGATATACGTAATATTTATAATATGATATGACGTATCAAACA